CCAAGAACGACGAAGTGTTTCATGTGTTGTTCAGACCCGAGGACTCCTTTTCGCCAGGCACCCGAAGATACTGTCCGCATGACTGCTCGTTCCTGGTCCCAACGTCGAAAAGAGTTCTTGCAAGGGCCAATAAAAGAATTCCGCCAGATGAAGCCATATTTATTTGTGTTCATCCGACTCGATACTTCGTCGAGCACGAGAATTGGGGGGGGCATTGAAACCGACTGTATCCAAGCGTTACGCGCGCACCTCGTCCAATTCTGCCTCACGGTGTGAGAGGTGACGAGGAATTATGAATGGTGACATGTCGGCCTATGAAAACGGCACGCGAAGGTGCACGCGGACAGTCGAGACTTTGCTTTTGATGGTCATGGAAAGTACCAAGCCTAGCACTGGCGACACTTTGCGGGTGGTAATAATCGAGAGGAATCGAGTGGGAGCAAGGCGGTTCGGGTCGAGCCCGGGGCTGATGCTTATACTGTACTGAGGAGAATTGATAATAATAACCTCGTCGGACTGGTTGCGAAGGATCCGAGACCTGTCATGTGGCTGTACAACGTACCTTGGTAGGTAGATGCTGGCGGCAGGGGCGTTGTAGAGCTTTCAGAAAAGAGTGGGATGTGGTTAGTACTTCATAGGTGTTTTACCATTGTGGTGCGAGGATCGTCCTGCTTTAAGCGCTTTAGGATTATCAAGATGGTGATGCTGCGGGCGTGCGTGCATGCAAGGAGATCGGATCTTGCATTCCTGCTGTGGTGTCTTGGACCATTATGCAGCACGATACTTGAATAGTCGCTTTGGCTTCGACTTTTACGGTTCGATTGATCGATGCCACTCTGGGTCACGGGATAGGTACCTAGGTACATGTACCTACCTTACATAGGTACTTTCTCGAAAAGGGGAGGGAGAGGGAGCGTGAGTGAGAGTGAGTGAGAGTATCGATCGCCTTCTGTGACGGCGACTTCGTACTACCTGCCTACCTAACCTACCTGGTACTGTACGTAGTACATACCTTCAAGTAAAGATACTTTAACGGATGTTAGTCAAGCTGTATCCATGGGGCCGCGCCCGACTCGGGAGCTGGATGCCAACGCGAGCCAAGGTCTCTATCTCATCATCCCACCAAGTTCGACGTTTGTTGGATAAGGAAGGCGGAGAGCCATGCTACAGAGCCAACCCCACGGTCAGACACCCCGAGCAACGTGTGCCAGTGGGGGGTGAGACCTGCCCTTCCCAAGCCTTTGGGGAATGGGATTGGAGACCTGGTTATTGTTGTTTGCGGTGGTAAGGCAATTGCTCCGCGCCTCGTCTGGCGAACGGATTCAGACCATCTGACATCGTGTGTGACAAGCACTCCTCCACGACTCTCCACCAGCAGCTCCCCAGCTCGCAGCTCGCAGCACGCAACACGGGGAAACGGCAACACGCTGCCGCGGCGAAGATACACATGTGGTCTGGGGAGATGGCTGTTTGATCGCACCCCCATGCGCCGCTGGAGCGGGAATACCTACTACCTAAGGAGTTCGGTAGGATGGGCACGACGAACGGTCTCAATCCGTTACGCTGTTATCGCTCGCAATCACTCGGCTGTCTCTGTGCCCTAATCCGGATCACAGGCCCCGAGCCCGGGGGACACTTCGTACACGCGCCTCGGGGCTACTATGAGACACAGGCGAGTTTGCAGCGACAACGGGCCTCGGACGAAAGTGCTCTCGTACCAACACCACTACCACTCCGTACACATTGAGCCGTCATGCCTTGTGGTTTGAGTTCTACGGACAATTTCGGTGCTCAAAGCAGGAAAGGCTCAATACCCCGGGCTCCGACCTTCTGATCCTGATCTAATTGCTATCCGGGCCCTCGGGAGGTCCAACACCACCCCATACCACATTCTTCCGGAACGAGACATCAACAGTGCGAAGTTGCCAACAACAACTTGTGTACCACGCGATGGTCCTTTGATGGAAACGGAAATTCATAGATCCCACCGCAGATAGCATTGCCTGCAGCCTACGATCAGAGCCAGTCGTCGATCTCTTCTTGTCGGATGGTTAGCGGAGGAAGCAAAAGCGGTTGACAACCAGTTGCGGTCAACAATGCACGAGAGAGAACGTTGCGGCGTAATGACCGCAACCTGAGTCGTGGATGCAAGTCCCAAATCCTCGGGGCCGCGGGCCATTGATGGATTGTTAGCCGTTGGGCCTCGATAAGTGGGGCATGGATGGGAGCCTTACGGAGTCACTACGGAGTAGGAAACTTTTGGGGCATTGTTAAAACTTGGCCTGATGAGTTTTTTACAAGTGCGGCCGAAGCTTCCAGTGCCTGCCAGGCTCATTATTGCTACTTGACTCAAGGGTGCAGTTCCCCAGACTTCCAATTTTCCCAGTTTTCAGGCTTTCACTAGCTGGCAAGTGTCAACGGGAGGTTCTGGGTTACAAGGGATCTTGTCGAACTCCTCCATCTGGCCTCGTTTTCCTTTTAGGGCATAGACAAGCCTAGCTAGCCACAAGCTAAATAATCCTTAGCTGGTCCCGACAATGGCCGGTCCCCTTGAGGCAGCTGATCACGGTCGAACGGTCAACCGGTCTAAAGGTCCCAAGTAACCAGGTAGATCCAGATCGTGATACTTGGCGATTCGGAGCGAGAGAAGCCTGGGAGATAACAGAACTAATAAATCGCTGGGAGTGAATACAGTACCAGGCTGGTACTTCGTACTGACGAGGTAGTAGTAGGTGGTAGTGTGCATCCCGACCTTTCGAACAAGCACAAGCAACGTTCCGTCACCCGCTTACTGGCAACATGCCAGATCACGCCGACGCTTGACGGAAGCTAGTTGTGGTCCCGGGAAAGTTCGGTCAACACCCTTACCGTACAATAATGATGTCAAGCCAGAAGCTGGAGATCGAGAGTTGGCCATGAAAGTGAAAGCCAAAGCCAAAGCCGTTGCTATCATATCATATCATATCATCTACCACCCGTAAAACCTCCGTTAATGCGTGCCTTGGTAGCCAGCACCTTCCCCCTCATTTCGCGATGTTGAAATCCGGCGAAATGGAGTGACGCCGGATGCCCGTTTTCAGGGCACATGACGCTGCCAGAAGCCCCCTTATTGCTGCCTGTAAACAGCCATCCGCTTCGGGCCATTTTCTTTTTGGCAGTGAGGGCCCACGAGCAAAGCCTCAGCCAGTGCTACAAGATCGATGCGCTGGCGGAAAGAGGGAAGGGGGGAGGGAAACATTATCATCTGGACAATTGACTGAACTGACGGGCGAATAAGTATAATTTATTTGCAAAGAGCTTGTTCTTGTGAGTTTTGACGGCGCATGGAAAAGGAGGAGTCAAATTATAGAATCCACGTCAGACAGACCCTCAATACCTTCGGGATGATGAAAGTTGCGGGGCGCTACCAACTAGAACCCACCGGCTAACCCCCATTTTTATTGTCTGGGAACGAGTTTGGCCCTTCACGTGCGGCGAGGAGAATAATGGGCACGGCAGCAGGTAACGGTAGTTAAGTCTGAAGGGGAGGTTTTTTGTCCGGGCACTTCAAGTTATATGATCTCTTGCGAGATATGTTATTAGACGAAGTACCCGGGGAGTTTGCGAGGTCCTGATGTATAGTAGTACATATAGTAGGAGCATGATATGCACTCCTGAACGGCGCAAACGGGACGCTCGTAAGTACTGTGGAGGAGTAGTACAAGACTACAATTACAAGTATAGGCGGTTGGATATTACTTTAGTCCGTCTAGTATAGTATAGTATAATAGTAGGTATAGTTTTGTATTGCTACCGTAGGCTCCGTAGTACCTCCGACTGTAGCTGTTGCAGTATAGGCACGAAGGAGAGTAGCAGGAGAGCAGTAGAGCCGTAGGAAGTACTTTATTTGTCGTGACTCTAGACTCGGGACTCTGGCTGTGTGTCGGAAGCTCGGGAGCTGCTGCAGCAGCCATACGAAGCAAGAAGATACTGCTACTGTGTACCCCATACGAAGAACTGCGGGAGAGAGATACTCGTGCCAGAGTCTTGGGAGTGGAGCGACCGAGGAGGCAGCAGAATAGAATTTCAGGTATTTGCTTGGGGGAGCTTGGGGCCCTTGGCTGAGTCCACGACATGTATGTACCGAGCTCCCCCGGTGGCGACAAGAGGAAAAGCATCCAGCCCCCTCCCAAAAGGGCCCTGACTCCATTACTGCCCGTTGCGGCATAGGGAATGAGCACTAGTGGGCGCTAGGGGGCACTAGGGGGGACACCTCGGAAAGCCCCAAAAAGGTACTAAAGTGGCCCT